ATGAAGGGATGGGTGCCATTTGCATTTCATCAGCACAAAGCAATGATCCTCCTGCTGCTGCTTGCTTTGGAGATGCAGTGGTGTATCCGCGGAATATCAATGGTAAAATGATGAGGTGTGGGTGGCTAGTGGGGAGCTCAGGCTCTGCTACAGGAAGCATTTAAAACGCACCTACTCAGGGAATATCCTAACAGTCTAATTAGGAGTCAAGAAATAGGAATATGTACAAACGGACTCCAGCAGACTTCACACTGATGTAAAATGGAAATCACATGATGTTCATGGTGCTATATTAGCAAAAGTGATGTTTTAAAATCTTAATCTATAATGCCAAACATATTTTTTGATTTGAGTTCTATATGTGACACCCCATAATGCAAAATGACTGACTCTATAACAATATAACACACATGTATCTTTGCGTACTACATCTCTTTTATCTCATGATGCCAGAAATCAAATTGTATTGCACGTGTTTATTGGAATTCCATCAATTAAACCCTGTAACACAATTTGAATCCTTTTTTAAAACACATACATCAAAGACATTAAACATATAGCTATAAATTTAAATCACCATTATGTCAAACATATTTTTTGATTTGAGCTCTTCATATGAGATCCTAAAACATAAAATGTAGCATTTTTGACAGTAATTGCCAAGATGTCTACCTCTTTAACAGTATTGTATATACATATCAAGTTTTAAACCTGTGTCTTTGAGAAACATCTCTTTCACCTCATATTGCTAAAAATCTCATTTTTAATGCATGCATTTATGGCAGTTCTATCACATTATTTTTATATTTTTTTAAACATAGATCTCTATTACCAGGAATGCAGCTAAGTAATTTTTGAGGTGCATACATATTCATTGTTGGCAACCCCACTAGAAATAATTAATCCATGTTGTGGCGCCCCCTTACACTTGGCGCCCCAGTACTGGCATATAGCCCATACATATAACTTTAAATCACCAAAATGTCAAACATATCAGTCATGATTTATGTACTTTGGAGATATTGTCTTCCAAACAAATCTAGAAAAGCAAACAATTTTATTTTGAAACATACATGTCTCAGACGTCAAGATTTAGTTATTTTCGTCAAAAACCTTCAAACATATTATTTATTTATTTTTAGGTCTACGTCCAGCACAAGTGGTGTAAAAAAACCATTCAAGACACTCCACTATAAATAATTTCACCATCTTTAAATATATATATATATATATATA